CTCCATTTACTGGAAGTGGAGAAAGATATACTGAATTATTGGGATTAATTCATACAGATGCCCATGAAAATTCAAGCTAGAGGTGGATATTCTTACTTCATCACTTTCACTGATGATATGTCAAGATATGGATTTGTATATCTTATGAAACACAAATCTGAATCTTTTGAAATGTTCAAAAGGTTCCGTAGTGAAGTTGAGAAACAGACAGGTAAAAGTATCAAGATACTAAGGTTTGATAGAGGTGGAGAATATCTTAGTAAAGATTTTACTAAGCATCTCAAAGAGAATGGGATTCTCTCACAATGGACACCTCCAGGAACACCACAACATAATGGTGTGTCTGAAAGGAGAAATCGAACCTTATTAGATATGGTGAGATCTATTATGGGGTTCACTGATCTTCCAATAAATTTATGGGGATATACTTTGGAAGTAGCAACATACTTACTAAATAAAGTTCCCCTAAGTCAGTCTCTACAACACCATATGAGATATGGAAAGGATGTAAGCCTAACCTTAAACATATTAAAGTTTGGGGTTGTCCAGCTTATGTTAAGAGACTGCAGTCTGATAAACTTGACTCAAGATCTGATAAGTGTAGGTTCATTGGGTACCCCAAGGAAACAATGAGATATTATTTCTATCACCCTTCTGACCATAAAGTGTTTGTGGCCAGAGGAGCAACCTTTTTGGAAAGGGAATTTCTTTTAGAAGGAAATTATAATGGAGAAATAGAACTTGATGAAGTTTAAGAAACTAATGAATCAATACAATGTAAAGATCATGAGACCCAAGTTGAAGAACCTTTAATGGATGTTTTGAAGTTGCCAAGAAAGTTGCCATCTTCAACGGTTGAAGTTCAAGAACTAAATGAAGTTCAAAAAACAGGTTAATGAACCAGTTCCAAACCAAATTGAACAACAACCAAATCCAACACAAGGTGAACAGGTTGCACAAGTACCTCTTAGAAGGTTTACACGAGAATGTCATATACCAACTAGATTAAATTTATTGGTACAATATGATGTATCAAATGAGGTTGATCATAATGATGATGACCCTAAGACATATGAAGAGGCTATACAAAGTTCCGATTGGCAGAAGGCCATGGAATCCGAAATGGAATCCATGAAGGAAAATAAAGTATGGACTTTAGTTGAACCTTCAAAGGATATAAAACCTATAGGTTGTAAATGGGTTTTTAAGAAAAAGATTGGAGCAGACGGAAAGGTGGAGACCTACAAAGCCCGTCTTGTTGCCAAGGGATATCGTCAGAAAGAAGGAGTCCACTATGACGAGACTTTCTCTCCCGTGGCAATGCTCAAATCTATTCGGATTTTGCTTGCTATAGCAGCATACTATGATTATGAAATTTGATNAAATGGATGTGAAAACAGCTTTCCTTAATGGTGAGCTAGAAGAGGATGTGTACATGACACAACCTGAAGGTTTCACATCTTCATCTGATCATAATAAAATTTGTAAGCTACAAAGATCTATTTATGGACTAAAGCAAGCTTCTCGAAGTTGGAATATTCGCTTTAACAAGACAATTGAAATGTTCAATTTTGTTAGATGCGAAGAAGAACCTTATATGTACAAAAAGGTTAGTGGGTGCACAATTATATTCTTAGTATTGTATGTTGATGATATATTGCTCATAGGGAATGACATACCAGCATTGCAAAGTACCAAGATTTGGCTATCTAAACAGTTCTCCATGAAAGACTTGGGAGAAAAAACTTATATATTAGGAATAAAGATCTATAGATATAGATCTAGGAAGTTGCTTGGACTTTCCCAGTCTTTATACATTGATACCATCTTAAAGAGGTATAATATGGATAATTCTAAAAGAGTCTATCTACCGATAGGCACAGGAATTACTCTCAGTAGGGAGGATTGTCCTAAAATACCTGAAGAGAGAGAACGCATGAGTAGGATCCCATACGCTAGTGCAGTAGGAGCTATCATGTATACCATGACATGTACATGTCCTGATGTGGCTTATGCACTTGGAGTGACTAGCCGTTATCAGGCAAATCCTGGTGAGGAACATTGAAAAGTGGTGAAGACCATTCTTAAGTACTTAAGAAGGACTAAAGACCAATTCCTCATCTATGGAGATTCTGAGTTGAAACTTGAAGGTTATACTGATGCAAGTTTCTCTTCAGATAGGGATGATAGCAAATCTATTTCTGGTTATGTATTTACCTTAAATGGTGGTGCAGTGAGTTGGAAAAGTTCCAAACAAGCTATAGTAGCTGATTCAGTAACTGAAGCAGAATATATAGCAGCTAGTGAGGCTGCTAAGGAAGCTGTATGGATGAAAAAGTTCTTAACTGAACTTGGTGTGGCTCCTTCAATAGAAGGTGCGGTTCCACTGTTGTATGACAATACTGGAGCCATTGCTCAAGCAAAAGAACCAAGATCACACCAAAAGTCCAAACATGTTCTGCGAAGGTATCACTTGATAAGAGAGATCATTGAACGTAAAGACGTGGAGATTCAAAAAGTTGATGGAAAGAAAAATGCAGCAGAGCCATTCACTAAAGCTCTTGGTGCAAAGGATTTTGACAAGCACAAGTGGAAATTGGGGATGAAGTACAAGAGCGATTGACTCTAGTGCAAGTGGGAGATTGTTAGGGATATAGTATATATGCCCTAGATCCAATTTGATGATTTGAACATATTTTTTATTTGATATAAATTATATATGGCATTTGATATTCTTTTATCATAGTTATTATTAATTATTTGATTAACTTGATAAGGTCTTTGATTAAATTATTGAGATTTGACATTGTGATGGAGATCATGATAATGAGAGTAAAGTTTCTTATAATTTAATCTAAATTTGTTCTTGATCGTAGGATTATTAATTTGGACATTAGTAATCCGGTTAGATCAATATTTATGTGATCGTCTTTATGGGATAAAGATTAGTTGATCTCATTAACTAAATCACATAGATAGATGATGCATATAGAGATATGATCATTGAACCGACTCATTGGATAATTCCTAATGGTTAGAATTACCATAAACTGTCAATAGGATATTCTCTTGAAGAATGTGATGTAAGAATTTTCTTTGACCTGAGATCGTCATAGTAATTGACAAGTTATTTATTGTGCTTTGATACTAGACACCTATGGCCCTAGGGCGATAGTTGAAAGGATATTGGGTACGATTAAATACTTGTAGAATTAGTGATTGATCAAGATGGAATCTGTCAACTCTTGGTAATGAGTTTAAGCTCCATGTTGTCATGAATTATAAACGACCAAACTAAGACCTTGGCCAGGGCAATTAAATGAAAGAAGAAATGAGTTTCTTAGGTTATTCAATGGTCGATTATATTTGACATGAACACATAGTTGGTTGCCTATTTGGATTTGACAGTTGAACCATATCCTAGGGTGATCTAGAGCTATAAGGACAGAAGAAATTACTACATTATTCTTCTACTGGTTCTTAAGAGTAAATTGTATACTTCATGCTATCCGGTCGTTAAGGAGTGTTGCTAGACGCCACCCTTGATTAGTATATTGATGTGATCAATTTACTACCGGTTTAGTAATAAACCTATGGGGTCGCACACTAACGAGTGTTCTGATCTTTGCTAAAGGATTAATTGCTTTATTATTTGGTAATTAAATTAAAGAATTTAATTAGTCAAATAAATTTAGTTATTAGTCCAAATGAAATATTATTATATTCTTTGCTAGCACAGATGATATAATTAATATTGTGAACAAATTGAAGTTTTCTATTCGGAATAGAAAAATTAAATTTGATATATATATATATATATATATATATGTGTGTGTGTGTGTGTGTGTGTGTGTGGATTTATATTAAGTTGCATATATAATATGATTAGTTAGTTCTATAATCTAATTTATTGGATTAGAAAATAACGTGAGGCCTTCATGAAACCCATTTGAAATGGGATTAAGTTTTCCTACAAGAAAATAATAATCCAATTATGAATTGGATTAGCAATTGAAAGTCCATAAGGACTAACCACGCCTGCCGACAATTCTGTTGATTGGAATTGAAGTTTATCCTACGACAGAAATCCTATTAATATTGTGAATTGGTTTTCACAATCATCATGCATATATGAAAATGATTGTACCTTTATTATATAAAACAAAATTGTAAAGAAAGAAAAAGGTCCCATTATTATGTGAATTGGTTTTCACACTCATCATGCGTGTACCTTTACAACATAAGACAAAATTGTAAAGAAAGAAAAGGTCCAATTATTATGTGAATTGGTTTTTATACTCATCATGCATATATGGAATGTGATTGTACCGCTACTATATTGTAATGAAAGGAAAAAAATTCCATACTTGTTAAGACAAGTCTGTCTTTTTGCTCAAACCGTATAGGAAAAAGTTGGCAACTTATATGTATAAATATCATACAAAATAAAGTGTTAAGACACTTAATTTTTCTGGAGTGAGACAACACGAGATATATTTGACAAAGTAATTACTTTCTTTGTCAAGAAGTTGGCTGGAAGTTTTGAGAAAAATTTCAGCACACAATTTATTCAATTTGTTCGCGGGTTTTAATTGATGAAAGAGTTGATAGCAAAGAATCGGTCTCGGTGTGGATACGCATAGAGTCTTCGCACAATCGAAGAAAAATTTTGAAACGAGACTTTCTTCACCAGGTACGTCTTAGATCCGATCTTTGACATGTAAATAAATTTTAAACACGAAAAGTTCTGCCTAGAATTGTTATTATCTTCCGCTGCGTGTTACGAACACATATATGCAGTCCAAAAGAAAATGCCCACACAAAAAAATACCAAATTGTTTAAGGAAGATAATGTGAATCTTTTATAGTTATTCATTACTTGATAGTATAATGGTGTGTATTATATAAATAAACAACAACAACAACAACAACAACAACAACAATACCCACTATAATTTCACAAGTGAGGTCTAGGGAGGTAGGGAGGTTGTTTCCGAAGACCCTCGGCTCAAGGACAAAATGAATATTCCATAACTAAAAATGCTGACAAATAGATTCAATTTAGTTAGGGTAGAAGAATATGTGCTGGAATTGCAGCTCCCCTCTCTTCTCTTTGCCTAGAAGGCCTAGGTGTCCGATCCGTGGGTAAGCAATCGCTATTATTAGAGGCGTGTTCTACCTCTAAGCTAATAGCCCATAGTGCAAGCCTCCCGTCAACCCAAGGTTTATTGTTTTTTTAGTTTCTTCTCTGGCCGAGTGTGAAAAATTAACTTTTGACCGGTGATATAATAACTTGCTTCACTTAAATTGTTTGAACTTCCTGATGCAGAGAATTTAAACCTGAAAGAAAAGCTGCACGTTGTGTTAAAGGAGACACCTTCGGTTGCAGTCCCACTGCCAAGATTATCTTCGTCAATAGTATATGGTCAAATATTGTGTCTTCTGGAAACTTTCTAAGAACCCAAATTCTGGCTGCAGAAAGTGAGAACAATAATTCAACTAAGACATGATATAATTGTAATAATAATATGCTGAGGAGGACATTTGACCTGATCCATTATAAGTAGAAAGTGCTGAAACAATTTAACCAATTAACCATGGCTTCAGCACAATCAAACCAGCTTTGTCTTGCAGCTCTCACCATTGGAATTGTATTCCTGACAATTTTATGGTACAGATGGACAAAAAATATCTCATACAAAGAAGGTCCCAAGTTGCCACCGGGGCCTCGTGGCCTTCCAATTGTGGGATTTTTACCATTCCTCCGCCCCAATTTGCACCATCAACTTACAGAATTGTCTCAACAGTATGGTCCAATATACAAGTTCTGGCTAGGAAGCAAACTATGCGTTGTGTTGAATTCACCATCCTTAGCCAAAGAAGTGGTTCGTGATCAAGACTCAGTTTTTGCTAACCGTGACCCTCCAATAGCAGGATTGGCAGCCACATATGGTGGAGTAGACATTGGATTTTCTCCCTATGGCTCCTACTGGCGTGATATGCGCAAACTGTTTGTGAGCGAGATGCTAAGCAACAGTAACCTTGAGGCTTCTTATGGTTTACGGACACACGAGGTCAGAAAGACAATCAAAAAGGTGCATACCAAGATTGGAAATCCCATTGACATTGGAGAATTGGCTTTTGTAACTCAGATGAATGTAGTCATGAGTATGATCTTCGGCAGCAAATTTGTAGAGGAGAAGGAGAAGCATGGAAAAGATGGATCAGCTGAGTTCAAGGAAGTGGTGATAAAAGTTTTTCAAGTATTGGGAAAGCCAAACATATCAGACTTCTTTCCTATGCTTGCCAGGTTTGACTTACAAGGAATACAGAAAGAGATGAAGGCTCTTTCAAAGTCAGTTGAAAGTATATTAGACCCTGCCATAAACGAACGCATGAAGATGCTTTCCGACAAAAGAGAGGGTGAAATCCAGGTGAATGGGAAGAAGGATTTTGTGCAGATCTTAATAGAGCTAATGAAGCAGAAAGACATTGGGATATCACTGGACTTGGTGAAAATAAAGGCTATGTTGGTGGTAAGTTATATAGTCCTTATATCTTCTCTATGTCATTGTTTGTCTCTTTGAACTTGGGAATCCTGAAAATTCCATGATAATACTTTACCAGAAAGAAGTCCGAAAACTTAGCCTTATACAAACTGCTTAATCATGTTTACTATATACAGGATCAATGTGATAAGAAAGTAAAGAAAAATGAGAATGCATTTGAGTTCTTACTGAAGATGATTAAATCGCATAACTAGCTATAATAGTCTAAAAATGTAACAGCTCAGCCCGCTAGTGATATTGTCCGCTCTTGGCCTAGGCGCTCACGGGTTTAAAATGCGTCACTAAGGCCTAAGTCTTGTTAACTTATATACCCAACATCCCTCTTGTGTTTTGCCGATATGAGACTCTGTCTAAAGTATGGGGTGTTACAAAAGAAGAGGTACATATACATACCTAAACATGAATGTCGCGTCCACCTACAGCTAGAATCAAACATTACTAAATTCCTGTGATGACAATGTTCCTTACCCTTGACTTCATATATGTTTTTGCTATGCAGGATATTGTGATTGGTGGAACTGACACTGTAATCACAACAGTCGAATGGGTAATGGCGGAGCTTCTGAATAATCCGGAGATAATGGCAAAGGTGCAACAAGAATTGAGAAATGCTGTAGGGATGAATAACATTGTTGAAGAATCTCACTTGCTGAAACTACACTATCTTGATGCAGTTTTAAAGGAGACGCTACGTCTGCACCCTGCATTACCACTGCTTATCCCTAAGCGCCCGAACAAATCTGCAACTGTAGGAGGATACAAAATACCTGAGGGAACTAAAGTATTCTTGAATGCTTATGCGATTCATAGGGATCCTCAAGAGTGGGAAAATCCATTGGAATTTCAGCCTGAAAGGTTCTTGAATCACTCTACAAATTTAAACTATTCTGGCAATAATTTCAAGTACCTTCCATTTGGATCAGGGAGGAGAATTTGTGCTGGCCTTCCTTTAGCAGAGAAAGTGCTTATGTTTGTATTGGCTTCATTGCTGCATTCCTTTGATTGGAAACTCCCAGAGGGCGAAAATGTTGACCTTTCGGATGGATTTGGACTTGTCATCAAGAAAAGCAAGAGCCTATTCGCCATCCCTATGCCCAGGTTACCACATTTAGAACTCTATCAGTAAAACCAAGAAACCATAAGGAAGATGAACTAGAGATTTTGAAGAAAGGGGCTTGACATGACTTTATCCACTGGTTGTAATATTTATAAGATCAAAGTGAAATATTGGACAATAGGTAAATGAAGTTCAACTAATGTACCTTGCATATGATTTTTTTGTGCACTAAATTTGTTAGCTGCTGGATTTAAATCAAGCAAGATAAAAGACTTTTGGAGAGATTTCTTTATCAGATCAATAAACAACACTAATCCGCATCAATCCTTTCATAAACTTCTTGTTGGCCGAAGTGAAGTTTGTTTTGACGATTGACAAAGGAACTCAAGCATGAACCAGGTTCATACAAAGTGAACACAGACACGGGCAAAATTCGAGTACAAGCCATGCACGTGAATGAGATAAGCTTAAGTGGTTATATCTGATATCTCCTGAACGAAAATGTTGCATAAGTGATAAGGAAAAGGATTCTTTACTCGAATAGAAATCTATCCTAGATAAGGGAGGAGTTAGAAGTTGAAGATAACTAGAACTCTTCCACCATGGAAGAGTATAACATTAGAACTCTAGTTATTTCCTATTCTACTAACTATATAAATTGCAGGATGTTCTCATTTAAAGGGACGCACAAACGCTAAAGTTAAATGTGAGTTGAGAGTAAAATAGCAAGGCATTTTGCAAACAATTCTTATGTGATCAAGTGTGTGAACCTGAAGCTACATAAACCAGATAGAAGAACCAGTTCCAAGTGTCTGCCTTTTATTCTAGTTTCATTGTAGTAGGTGTTTTCAAATTGTACCTTTCAGCTTTATCTAGAGGCTATTGTATTAGGTACTCTGAGTATTCAAGTTAGATTTAACTTGAATTTGTCACAATCGTTAAAGGCTGGTTGCCACAACGGGATTAGAGGTAATCCTTAGGTTTATAAATAATTTTGTAAATTTTGACTCAGTGATTTAGTGAAGTATTGGGAAAATCCTACTGTGTAATAGGTCGTGGTTTTTCATCCTTTGAGTCGGGTGTTTTCCACGTAAAAATAATTATGTTCTTTACTTTCCACATTTACTATTTCCGCAACAGTAGTATAAGGAATACATAGAAGAACCAGGTCCTTCTATAATCAGTACACGCGAAAATTGGACANCCCCCCCCCTGGTGTGGCATTGAAGTATAAAACCTCACTTCTTTTTACGAACTTTGAACTTGTGGCACTGACAAGTTCGAACTCTATAGAATTTTCCATTTTTGTTGTCTTGTTGAAGAGTGTCACTCGGGTTGAAGGGTGATTAAAGACATGTATGATGGAGCTAAGACTCGGGTTAGGACAGTAGGAGGCGACTCCGAGCATTTTCCGGTTGTTACGGGGTTACACCAAGGGTCTGCATTCAGCCCATTCCTATTTGCCCTGGTGATGGATGCACTAACTCATCATATTCAAGGGGAGGTGTCATGGTGCATGCTATTTGCTGATGATATAGTTCTAATTGACGAGACACGAGGCGGCGTTAACGAGAGACTAGAGGTTTGGAGACATGCCCTTGAGTTTAAAGGTTTCAAGTTGAGCAGGACGAAGACGGAATACCTCGAGTGCAAATTTGGGGTCGAGCCGACGGAAGCGGGAGTGGAAGTGAGGCTGGACTCTCAAGTCATGCCCAAGAGGGGTAGTTTCAAGTACCTTGGATCGGTTATTCAGGGGATCGGGGAGATCGGCGAGGATGTCACACACCGTATAGGGGTGGGGTGGATGAAGTGTAGGTTAGCGTTGGGAGTCTTGTGTGACAAGAAAGTGCCATTGTTACTAAAAGGTAAGTTTTATAGAGCAGTAGTTAGGCCGGCTATGTTGTATGGGACTGAGTGTTTGCCGGTTAAGAACTCACACGTCTAGAAGATGAAAGTAGCAGAGATGAGGATGTTTAGGTGGATATGCGGGCATACAAGGATGGATAAGATTAGGAATGAAGATATTCAACAGAAGATAGGCGTGGCCCCCGTGGAGGACAAGATGCGGGAAGCAAGACTCAGATGGTTCGGGCATATTCAGAGGAGGAGCATTAATGCACCGGTGAGGAGGTGTGAGCGACTGGCTGTGGTGGGCACGAGGAGAGGCAGAGGGCGACCTAAGAAGTATTGGGGAGAGGTGATCAGACAGGACTTGGCGCGACTTAGGATTACTGAGAGCGTGGCCCTTGACAAGGAATTGTGGAGGTCGAGTATTAAGGTTCTAGGTTAGGGGGAAGTTATGAATATTTACACAACACACTATAGTGAGACTAGCCAATTAGGAGTTAGTCTTTGGCTGCTACTGGTCATCTACAGATGCAGGGCTTTATCTGTCGGTTATTATTATGACATCCATCTATTTTGTATTTCTTATATTGTTGTTATTTTATTATGAGTCTATTGATGATACTAATATATCTTCTCTTGTTGCTTCTTGAGCCAAGGGTCTCCTGGAAACAGTCTCTCTGCCCCTTGGGGTAGGTGTAAGGTCTGCGTATATATTACCCTCCCCAGACCCCACTTGTGAAATTATACTGGGCCGCTGTTGTTGAAGAGTGTCACAAGCCCAAATTACATTACCAAATTGCTATAATGAAGAAGTCCACCATTTTCGTTAACGTATGCACAATTAAAAGAACCTCTTAAATTTGGGAAAATGCATTGAAATTTATTCCAGAAAGATTTCTGACTTGAAATTAGTACACTGCCGTGTTTAACTGGATAAAATATCACTAAAAATGTTGAAGTTCAAACAAGCTATTATTTTATAACTAGTGTACTTGCAGGCGCTTCGCACAGTCATAAAAAAATCGAAAATGAATAAAATTAAATATGAATTCTTACTATTATCCTTTTTCCGATTCTTATAATATCCATCAAAAACTTTTTAAGAAAAGGTATGTGAAAGACATTTTAAATTAAATGAACAAATATTTAAATCAGTATATGAACTTGATTAAGGAAAACAAAGAGAAAGTTAATGCATCCTCTATTTCATTTCTGTTTTTTTTTTTTCCGACTTCTCTTCACCCTGCTTCATCATAGTCTATTGATCTCAATACATCACCAAATACTGCATTAAATATGTGTCTGGCTTCTTCTGCTAAACCAGCCCAATGTAGGTCCTTCCTTTGGTGCTCAGTCCGTTTTAGGGGACTCTCTTTTAGCAGCTTAATTATTTGATTGAGAGTAGAAACAATAATTTGATTAAGGTTTAGGAATCTAAAGTTCTAAAAGAATACATATGTTTGGAAATAAAAGTAAAAAACAGCAATTGTTACCATTCTAAAAAAAAGAGCACCAAACGGTCCAAATGCTAAGTGGGAAACAATCCCCAAACTCATCTAACACGATGGAACTATATACTTTAGCAAATATAAGTATTTTCTGATAAATTTATCTTAAAACAATATATGTACATACTATTATTGATATAGTTCTTAATCTTAACAACAAACAAACAAATATTCTTACACATTTTAGTAAAATACATGAAAGGCGTCAAAGTATTTTGGCTATTTATGTATTCCAAAATGGAGAAAATAAGATGTATAAATTTTATCAAAAAGAAAGATAGGACAATTTGCATTAGAGATTATAATACCTTGACAAACTTAATTGCTTTCACTTCAAAAACTCATATTCATCAGAAATCAAATAGAAGTTCCACTTCCATGTCCAAAATAGAACGAAACAAAGAAGAAGAAAGTAATATCAACTGAAAACCATGATAATCTGCTACAAATAACATATTATTGAATCAATAAAATATAAAAACAAAACAGAGGAATAGAATTACATCCACCAAATTAAAATTTGAAGAGACAAATAACATTTGAAAATAATTATTATAAGGAAATTAATACATCAACGATTTTCGAAAAATAAAAGTAGGCCAGGTAAATAGTGTTACATCCAAAATAATAATCTTCTAAGTCAAATATTACAAATAAATAAAAAGCAAGAAAAAAAAAGATTCCAACAGGATTACATGATGCCAAAAGGAATGAAAAACATAGTTGAGAATAAAAGGACTATTTGAAGGGATTGACTCTTGGGTGCCATATTTATTTTTACTAAAATGAAGGTCATGGTCTTAAAAGTTATAATTGTGATGGTACTAAAGAGGTAGTAAATATTGGGAATTGCAAAAATAAGTAACGTACCAAAAGAATCTTTCCTTCCCTTATTTCATTTATGATAGAAATTATTGGAACTATCAAGAAGGCTATAATTCATATTGAGTAAATAAATAGTTATATTAAAATAAAGTGAAAAACGAAAAAGCCATAAAAAGATAAATATGAATGAAAGCCAAATAGATGTGTTGCGCCAGCTTTATCATTTCCTACTTTATATTTATAACTCAACCGAACTTAATATTACAAAAGGCAGCACAACTTTTAGTTTTTACGTACGTTTATAATATTTTTGTATTTTTTAATCCTTTCCGTATCTTCTTGTATAATATAGCTAATCTTGATCCAATAAAACACGTCACTGACATTTTTACTAATTCATTATTATGCATTATGAGTAAGAAAAATATATTAGAATCAATAGTCAATGCCAAGAATGTAACCTTTTTTTTTTTTGGTAAGTAGAAACTTTTACTAATTACCAAGTAAAAGCAATATGAAAATAACTTCTCTAAGCATAATAAGGTCCTTTCGTGTCTAATGCTCAAAAGTAATTTGTCTAAGCATAAATAATTCCCTTTTGTATATCAACATGTCAGAGTTCCAGGTAAGTTTGGTGTCTCAAAAAATATTCTGATAATTAAATGTTCATTTATTTTTTATTTTTCTTGTTTGTTTCTTTTTAAATGATTAACTCACCCGTGGTGGATGAGCTTAAATTAAATGTTCATTCGGAAAGTCTTTGAAAACAATTAATATCATCACTACAAAAAAAAAGCCTAATTGCGGCGGTTTAATAGCGGGGTCAGATCCGACCCCCACAAATTTATGACAATGAGTTTTGTATGTGTAGGAAAAAATTGAGTTAGCTTTGAGCCAAAACACCATAAACGAGTCTCAAATTTCGCCAAATGATGCCGTTGGTAAGGTGCTAGGAAAAGAGCACTCTGGAAGGGTGAGGTGTTTGGGTTTAGGCCCTGTCCCTAGTAAAGTTTTT